TCGGGGCCGTGGGACACCGCCCCGCCCCGCCCCGCCCGCACACCGCGGCCCCTCCAGCTGCCTCACAGATCAGGTTTACTTGGCCCTTGCGTCCCGTCTGGGCTTGCTTTCCTACTCTTCTCCGGTTCGTTTCACCTGGGGTGGAGCGCGTGCACGTGTAAAAATGCCATAGAGAAACAGGGCTGGAAGGGACCCCCGGGGGGGGCATCTAGTTCAACCCTTCTGCCTGAGGCAAGCTCAGCCTTCTGCCAACCCACTCTCCACAAAGCCATCATCTGAATGCATGACCGGCTACCCGGACACAACACAGACCTCACACCTGAACCTACCACAGAGAAATCAGGGGGACGGTGGCAGCCAGCGCCTTGCTGCTATGAAATGTTGTCAGCAGATGCTGAAGAGATCCCCAGTAGAAGGCCACCTCTCTCTGCTACAGAGGAAGCCCCCCCGCGCGCGCACGCACGCACGCACCCCCCCCCCTGCAGTCTGCTTTAATCTGACCATGGGGTAAAATTCCTTCCTGACCCCAACTTTGGGGATCAGCCTGACCTTGAGCAGAGGGGCAAGACCCTCTAGCCAGGAACCTATGCAAAGTTAGGCCACCTCAGCCCTGCCTGGGCAGCGTTGGTGTTTGAAGCAAACCTTTGCTGTTTGAAGGAGTGGTGCTAGCAAGCCTGTGAATAGCGTGGGGGAAACCTGCCCCACTTCAAGCACAGACGGAGATGAATTGTGCATGACAAGGTTCATCTGAGTCTATGGGGACTGCCGGGGCCAAGTATAACTGAACTGCGCTGCCAAGGGATCGCAGACAGTGCTATAGGGGGGGGGGAGCGGGGACATGGGGATACCCAAGTACTGTCAGTATAGTTTCTTTCAATATGTAAAAGCAGCTCATTTTCCAAAGAGGCAGCCCAGATGAAATTAAATGGAGAAAAGTAAGAAGGCAAGACAAAACAGGATGCAAGGGAGATCTAGTAGGGAAGGATCCCTCATCCCCAACAGAATAAGCCTGAGTTCTTTGCAACAGAATAATTGCGCTGTTATTTTTCTATAGTGAAGAAAAAACAAGTGAAAACTAAGAGCTGGCATTTTCTGAGGAGTGCCTCAAATCTAAAAAGTTTGAGAACCACTGTCTTAGATGCTGCCGAGGGCCAGTGAAATGAATCATCCCCATTTTGCAATTAGGGAAATGGAGGCATAGCAGATCTGCAGCCTCATCACTCCCTCCCCTGACCCCAGCTGTCATTTCCTTTTGGGAAAGCTACTTCCAGAGGGGAAAATGTGCCACTCTCCAATGAATGAGACTTGACGTGATTTCTATTTTGGATTTTTTCCCTCTTTTTTTTACATTCAATTCAGGCCTTGTCTACCCTTGGAAGGCTTCATAATCCCAGAAATATAGGGCTACAAGAGACCTCAAAAGGCTATCCAGCCTATCTCCCTGTGCTGAGGCAGTACACAAGATACCTGGAAGGTCCCACAGAGATGTCCTGGAGAAATCTCCAATGAAGGGAATTCTACCTCTTCTCCAGGTAGCATAAGTCTTTTCAATAATAAATTGAAGAACCAGTATCACAAAGGCCTGGATGCAAAAAAAAAGCGGGATGGGAATTTTGTCAGACTGACTTTGTTAACAGTTATTTGACTTTATTTAACATGCTAGAGAAGGGACTGGTTTATCACGGGTCCCCCACCCTTGCAAGCCCTTCTATTAAGCCCTATAAGAACATAATAGCTTTGGATGGTCTGCGCCTGAAACAAAAAAGTTGTTTAACCCTTTTGTCCATAGCCTACTAGTGCTTTAGAGGGGGGTAGAGGGGGTGGTCCTAAACACTGTCTTTACACTGTGTGTAGTGTGGTTAAAGCATGATGATTAAAAATGTGTCAGTCAATACATTTTGAAAGCACCCCTTCTAAATCTAGATGTGGTCTAAATGGATACTGTTGGGTCTAATCTATACAAAGGGACACAAGACTGGATGGGAGCTCTCAAGTTTTCAAGTTCAGGGCCCTACTATAGCATGCAGTACCATCAAACAATCAATTTCAAGCTCCATCTTAAAAGTATTTACATTTTTTCCACACTTCCCCCCACCTTGTATCTCCCCAGTACACACTTCTGTTAAAAGACTTCCAGAACATCACTGCTCTGATGATTAGACACTTTCCTCTAGTTTCCATCCTAAACGTATATTGTGTTTCCCTCCCAGAAACATTTTTAACCATGTGTTTCTAGACAGTAATCATATCCCTTTTCAGCCTTTCTTTTGGCATGCACAGCAAGACAAGTTCTTCTAATTTCCTCTTTTATGATAGCCTCCCTCTTCCCTTGGTTATAATCTTTTTATGCACCCATTCCAATTATAATTCATCTTTCTTCAGCATGGGTGACCAAAAATTATGGACTATTCCAAATGAGGCCTTATCAGTGCTTTATAGCACAGTAATACTTACCTACCTCTGATGAAAATACCGCAATTAATACATTAATTTACCTTCTACATCGACATTTCACATTGGCACCTCATAGTCATCCTATGATCAGCTAGTACCCCCAGAGCCTTTTCTTCCTCAGTCATACCCAATCAATAAGATCATGATTTAGAGCAGACATTCCTATTGTTAGTTTCCAGATGTATGATCTTCCATTTTAGTGCTGAATGTATCCTATTTTCATTACTCAAGTCCTCAAGGTCATCCCATTTTTCCTGTATACTACTGTGTCTTCAGCAAGTTTCATCAACACTAATTTATTGTGCCAAGCTCAATAATGAAAACATTAAATCAGATTGGTCTCAAAACATGAAGCTGCCCAAACAGGGTTGAGGTAGCCTAGCCCCACTTATAAGATATCAAGGGAGTCACAGCCCAAGTTACATGGCTACATATAATAGGGACTCAAAGACACATGAAAAGTAAGAAACACATCAGAAATATCTGGGGCTGCTTGGATTACAGGATAGAAAGAAAGGTTTTCCTGCTTAGTGGTGAAATTTGGACAGCGGAGTCAGTATTCTTTGGTTGCTCTGTAGAGATAAATAGATTTTTGTAAGTAGATAAGATCCCAACATTTGCATCACTGGAGATGTTTTGCCATTTTTTGTTGCTTCAGGATTGTATAGTGCTTGTGACATGTTCTTGGGAAGGAGAGGAACTGCAGTAGTTGTGGCAGTTGTGGAAAAAGGGATGATCTTATGGATGCTGAGCAAAGAATAAACCCACTGCAGTTTAAATATAGGAAACTTACTGAACTGCTGTCATTTTACATTATTCCAGGTCACAGAGCATCCCTTGCAAATGACTTTGAAGGATGGGTCAGGGAGTTCAGTTGTACATCCCAGAAATCCACTTTTCAGCTGCTTTATATGCCTCCAAGTAGCCCATTGCTGACTTTAAACTTTTCACATACAGGTTTCCCTTGCTTTATGCTGTACATGCATTCCTGGAAAATGGCACAAAACTCTAATTCACATAAAGGGAACCCATTTTACAATGTAACAAATAGGGATATGTTCCAAGATCTTGACTGTACTGACCCCCAGGCCCATTTCTACCACGTTTACAAGACAATTTTGGTACTCACCAACAGCAGACGGTAAGCACAGGGTGGTGGTGAATGTTACCATAATTGGGATGGCAACTACAGAAACACGTCTCAGACAATGAATGAGGAGCACAGATCTACACAAGAGACTATATTTTGGTGCATGTCACTCCCACAATGCACCACACAAAGCAGCTAGCTGCGGGCTTCCACTGATTGCATCAGAGTGAATTTACCTCACATATAACAAATTTTTGCTATAAAAGGGTCATCACATAAGCAAATTCGCACATACAGAACCCACATAAAGGAAGGGAAACCTGTATTATACTGGATTGGACTCTAGATACTTCAGACCTACAAAATGATAAGAGGTTGTTGAGCTTCATGCCAGAGGGTTTAATATGCCTCACTTGGCAGAAGTGGGGGTCAGGAAGGAATATTTTTCCCCTGTGCACTGTTGTACTTCCTAGAGAGGCAGGATATCAGATAAGAAGCATATCTAGACTAAGATAAAAGGGGTATTCTTAAAATGTATTTTAAAATAATGCTAGTGCTGATGGGGTATGTGAACTGGTCAAGGTGAGGCTGAGGATCCCAAGAGAGAAAAGATGTATATTTGTGATACTGTGCATCTTATAGCACAGGCAACATAAAAGCAGAGAATTTTCAGTGTAGCAAGGTACTCAGGGCCAGTTAGATCCAGATGCATCTACTTTGAATTACTTAGTGCAAAGACCGATCACTTTTAACTCTCCCTAGGATTCACCTGTCACTTGGCACACCAAATTCAGCTTGTCTCACTTACTTTTAAGTTACTTAAACTGTGTTAGCTAATATGTTGTAAAAACTTACTAGTGTAGACAGCCCCTAGGTATCAGGAAGCAAAACAGAAACTCCAACAGAAAACCATTTTTGTATGTTGTTGTTGTTGTTATTATGCTTGCATTTGATTCACTTGAGTTGCAAGAGGGAAAAGAGGGTTACAGATGCCTGCCCTTCTTATTTGTAATGGCAGCAGCAGCAACCCACACAATCCAGAGGAGAGGAGTCTTCAGGCATGATTGACAGCCAGTTACCAGCCCCAGGGAGCTTCAAACAAAAGAGGCCCAGACCAACACAAACAGTGCAGATGAGCTACAGGGGCACTGTTCCAGCATATGGACAGTCTTGCCTTCCTTCATTTTTCCATCCCAGGGTAGGAGAGGAAATCTATTTTAATTTCTTTTAAATGGCTGACTTGGAGTGTCAACCAATATTCTCAGTCCCTGCTGCCATACTTCATGTGCCCTATGCTAGATCAGTGATTCTCAACCAGGGGTGTCCCAGATCCTTTGAAACATGACTTGGAAAATGTGAGGAGAGAAACAAATAAAGGTAGGCTCAAGCTTTAGATGTGAGGAGACAAGGAAATAAGGAAGGGAAAGCTCAGGTTCTTCCTGCTTGGCTGCTCTCCCATCCCCACTGCCAGCCCCTTCTGCAAGGAGATAAGCCCTACGATAAATACATTATTTTTTGTAATGGGATGCCGCTCAATTCTTAAAAGTTATGGAGGGGTACCTAGAGTCTGACCAGGGGTACCATGAGTTTGAAAAGGTAGAGAACCACTGTTAGATGCTTGCCTCCCATTTTAATACTAAGGGATGGTGTGTAGATTGTTATTGAAGTCTTTGCAGTCTATCAGAGCCTCTGTCAGGCAGATTATCCTCTCCCCAGTGTGCTTGGACTTCTTGCTCCATTTTCACAGGTTTTTTTTTAAATGTTGAAATAAAATTAATCAGTTGAATTTACACAAAAAAAAATGTTTACATTGCTAGTCTTCTGCTATTTCATCCAGCACCCACTGGTATCAATACAAATCTGGCCACTGACTTCAGTAGACATTGAATTAGTGCCTTGAAGGTAACAGAAGTTAGAATTACCACATTCTCCTTAAAAGCTGAATTTTTTTAAACTGGTACTAGTTTAACTTCTATCATAAAAATAATGTTCACAGCCATGTAAAAGAAAGGGTCTTCAGAATATCTGTCACTCATTCTCAGGAAAACACTGTGGTAGAGTTAATACGTTTTATTTCTATTTCGATATTGTACCATCGGGTTTATGAAGTATTATTCAGTCTTAATGCTGTTTGTCAGATACACACAAGTTGTTCTTGAAGGAATGTAATGCTGATGCTGACAACTGCCAAGAGGAGGGAAGAAACCAAGCTCTAACATGCACAGGGTTATGAATCCACTGCGTGATCAGGCATTTTTCTGGTCCAAAGATCTTGTTCAGCCAGTACACTGAATCAAACCTATTAAGTGTTTGTCCATGGAAGGCAGCTGTGCTGTTCTGAAGGAAAGACTGGAATATCAGGATATCCTGGTGCTCCAGGGCAAGTCTTTTCATCTTTCGGCCTCAGTTGGGTCCTCTGTAAAATTGGAATCATTGGCCGCTTCTACATGAGATGCTATTGTGCAGTTGTTACTGCATATTTATTTAGTAGATGTATAAACAAGTACTAAATAAATGCACAGTAACCTGATTTACTGCACAGTAGTGCTGGGCACTGCCTTTTTTCTGATGGTACTGCACAGTAGCCTAATACTACTGCGCAGTAGCGTTGCATCACGGTTTTTGCCATGTAGTATTGGGCTACTGCGCAGTCAACGTCTCATGTACACATGTCCATTCTCAAATATAGATCCCACAGTGGTATTGCAAAGATTAATAAACATTGGGATTTAATATTTACCATTTCTCACAGTACTAGAACTAAGGGACATACAATGAAAGTATTAGGAGGCAGGTTTAAAACCAACAAAAGAAAGCTGTTTTTCGGACAGTGTGTAATTAACTTGTGGAATTCCTTGCCACAGGTTGGTGTGGAGGCTGATAATTTAATCAGGTTCACAAGGGAATTTGTCAGTCATGAATGAAATGTAACACTTGGGAGTGCAGCCTCAAAATTAGGACTTAGTGGGGACATCTACACGAGATGCTATGTTGCCATAGCAATGAGTTACAGCGATGTATCTCATCACTATGGTGATGTAGCATCGGCAGGCACTAACCATGATGCTGCCAATACTGCTCAGTAACAATAAGCTACTCAGTGGGTACTGCACAGTCATTTAGTACTTGCTTTGGCATATAGCAAGTAGTAAATGACCACACAGTACCAACTGTGCAGTCATGGGCATGTGTAGATGTGCCCCCTCTGTCTCTAAATGCTGAATGGTGTAAGAAAAGAAGGGTAGAGAACAAATCAGCCTCAGTAGTCCTGGCTTAAATACTCTTCCCCTTAGCATCCACTCTTTGCTGCTGGGAGACAGGGCCATCCCTTGTGGCGAGGGGGCAAATCGGGGTAACTGCTGCAGGCCCTGCACTTTGGGGGGTCTTGTGGAGCCGGGCAGAGTGGCTGTGGCAACTCCGCGCTGCTGCTGGATTCACGTCTGGCCACTTGGCACCCTCCCCCCTGCCGCTAAATCCAGCGCCTCCATCCACTCAGCCTGCCCCACCCCACCACTGAATCTGCTGCTGGCTTCCTTGCGTCTGGGGGCAGGGCCCCATACAGGCTGATTTGCCTCATGCCCTGCACCCTGCTCGGGTTGCCTCTGCTGGGAGAGATGGATTTGTGGTGTGACCCAGTGTGGCATCTCTTCTGTTCTGTCCTAATGGTAAAGTGCATAAAATATGCAAAAGATTATAAAATTGCTAGGTATTATCATCAAGGAGGTCAGATTTTCCCTTAGAACCACTGCTGAAAGTTGTTTTAATGATACATTAGCCAGGGTAGACTGGACCTTAAAATGGAGAGAGTGAAATCAAATAAAAAGGGCTGGGATATATGCCATACTGGGTGTGCCTACATATGCAATTAATATGACTGAATAAACTCTGGAGCAATTTGAGCCAGAGTAAATTAATACGGATGTCACCATCTACACGTGTGTTTAAGCGCAGTAATTTACTCTGCCATTGGATAGTACCTGTGTCTATCGGGACTATCCGACAGCACAGTAAATTAGTTTGCACCGGTCTAATTGCCGTGCAAGTATAGATGGTGATGCTTTACTGTGCAGCAAATTAGTCTACTGAACAATAAGTGCACATGTAGACATGCCCACTGTCATTTTGCTGGTTAAAGCCAGAAATAAGGAAGTTTGCAGAATTAGAATGTTTGATATTTTTAAATATATGGAAAAATGAAATAATTTAATCTCATTAGAAAACTGACAGAACTTTAGGGCTTTATTCAGCTCACAGGTATGTTAAATCTGAAATAAGTACAGTTGTGATTTAGGAAACCATTGCTAGATGTGCAGTTTTATTTTATAGTAAGCAAATAGTCCATCACTGTCATACCTGATAACATGCAGAGCTTTCTGAGAAAAAGAAAATCAATTTACTATAAAGTTTTAAGAATTTAAATATGTAAAAGAGGAAACAAAAATAATTGGTACCCACATACATAGACTGTCAGGCTCAATTAAACCACACCATCTTAGGTTTTTAAAGCTTGCCAAGGAGATATGGGATTTTAAGAAATTGACAATTGTGGATAAAAATCACCATTTAAATGACATGTACATTTTTTAGGTATTTATTTTTATACTTTGAAAGATTTCAGAATACATGGAAACTTCCGGAAGTGAAAATTGCATCAGCTAACCACAGCCTATCCTAATGACAGTGCAAAACAAAAATACAGTGTTAGGGCTTCAGACATTACTGTCTAATAATAAGCAGCAACTGTAGTAGATCTTTGTAATTCCATTTGACTCAGGCATGATATGTTTTAATACACAAGATCAAGTAAAGAGAGAAGAAGCTGCAAAAACTATATACCATGGTAAGTCAGTCAAATGCATGGAAGTCTGTTGAAGTTGAATAAGAATAATTTTGTTAGCCTATAGTTCTCCTAAAAGTGGCACTATTGCAGACATTTAAAGAGCACATAACACATTGTACAGTCCTGATATGACTGTGTCATTTTGGCTAGAATTTTCAAAGAAGCCTAAGAGTTTAGCCCTTGACTTTCACTGGCTTTCAGTGGGAGCATAATCTAGAAAACCTGCCTTGACCTCTTAGTCCTAACCTAGGAGAAGAAGTTCTGAATATTTGCGCTAGATGGTAACTAACTAGAGAGGCCACTGGTATGATGAGCCTTCAGTAAGTGGAGACTTTCCATATATTACAGTAAAGAGCTGCAGTGATACTAGAGAAGTACTTCAGATCCCTGCCAGAGCTAGTCACCAATCCATCAGTACATGCAAGTTCAGCAGCGAAAGGTCAGATGTACTGTCTGTGCTTCCCTGTGCCCACTTGGAGCAGACCAGCCCCTTGCCCTTATTATAATATCCTTAATCTCATCCAGCAGCTGTCCATTCTGCCTGCCAGATAACTGTAGTAGGAAGCTCTGTAAGGATCCCTACAGAGTGGAGTTTAAGAGATGATGTAGGCTGTTTGAGGCGCAGTATATTCTGTGGCAATAATATTTGTTCCCTACATTTGGGCCAGGAGAAGCAATAACTAAATATCTGGAAATAATTGTGTAAGAGAGAAGATAATAATTGCTGATGCCCATTTGCTGTAATACTGGAAACTTCACTGCAGGTTGGAAGGGCTATTCACAGTGAAAAAAAATCAAAACAAGATGGACTACCCTGACCTAATATATAACTGATTCACAACTGTTATTTGTATCTGATCAAAATATTCTCTTTATTGAAGTATATTTAGCGAGTCTTAGTTAGTGCATATAATCAGACTATACCAGGTTGTGTATTTGTTCCCATCAGAGGATAGCAAAACTGTCCAGCTCCTAGGCATCTGGAGTACAAATTGTATTAAATGAACCTGTATGAATTTACTGGGAGACCTCAGTGATTATAAATTGTATCTTACTGAAAAGCTGTCAGTCTGTGTGTCTATAGAAGAAGGCTGAGTCCAGAGTTATATCCAGGCAATGTAAATAGCCACAGACTCAGCAATGGAGGTTCCTACACTGTCCACCTTAGAGGAAGAACTTAGATGCACAAGAAAGTGGTAGGAAAAATAGCTAACAATTAGCTAACATCCCCTAGACCAGGGGATGTCAAAATCACCTAGGGTCCCAAGCTAGATC